TGAGCGGAGGGGGGAGAGGAGGAGGAGGAGGAGGGGGAGGAGGAGGAGGAGGAAGAAGAAGAAGAAGAAGAAGAAGATGATGATAAGAAGATAATAGGAGGAGCTGGAGGAAGAAGAAGATCAAGAAAGGAGGAGGAGGAAGAAGAATAAGATGAAAGGAGGAGGAAGTAGAAGAAGAAGATGAAAGGAGGAGGAGGACGAGGAGAGGATAAAGAAGAAGACGAGAGGAGGAGGGGGAGGAGGAGGAGAGGAAAGGAGGAGGAGAAAGAAGAATGAGACTTGAAAAAAAAAAAGAGGAGGAGGAGAAGAAGACGAAAGGAGGAAGAGGAGGAGAGGAAGGAGGAGGAGGAGGAGAGGAAGGAGGAGGAGGAGGAGCGGAAGGAGGAGGAGTAGAGAAAGGAGGAGGAGGAGGAGAGGAGAAGAAGAAGAGGAAAGGAGGAGGAGGAGGAGGAGGAGAAGAAGAAGAAGCGGAAGAAGAAAGGTGGAGGGGGCTTCACTGACGACGACGACAGCAGCGACTCACGACGGGGCTGCACCAGGGTGGCGACGAGCAACGGGGGCTCGGCAGCAGCAGCGACGGGAGCTCGGCAGCAGCAGCGACGGGAGCTCGGCGGCAGCAGCGACGGAGCTTCACTCCATGGCGACGAGGAAGACGGCTACGACCAATGAGCGAAGGGGCTGCACCGATGAAATCGCGCGTTTGAATTCTTAACACCTTTCGCACAATTTCGTCAGGTGGAGAAGGCCTTTCCTGGCGACTGATCTCAGGCGCCGAAGTTCACAGATCGGCGGCTGGGATCAGTTGCCAGGAAGGGCCTTCTACCCCCTTTAAGAAATCGTTTTTTTTTTTTTTTTGAAGTCCTACGTTGAAGCGGAGTGTGTGGGGAGGCCGCCTGCGCCCGCCCATCCTCTACCGACCCCCCACACGAAATTGCGCTGGACCCGCCCAGCGCTCAACCTGGGACCGAACCGGCCGGGCTGCCCGGGACCCCGACCGGACAAAGGCACGGCCCGGATTTTAACACAGGTAATTTGTGAAAAAGTTTCTGATATTTTTCTGCTGATTTTCACTAATTTGCTGATTTTTTTTTCTCATGCACAGGAGCTGGAACTGATGGTGAGGACTAAAGAGAAGGCTGAGATCCGTAAGTACCGATACGCTGTCATCTCCCTTTCCCCTTCTCCTATTCTCCCTCCCCCCTCCAGCCCCCCCCTGCTGCATGCAGGCATCAGGCAGCGTGGTCATGTCTTCATCATTTCCTCACACACACCTGTAGAAAAGGTACAAGCTTCCATATTCGAATGTATATATAGTATTATATACACCTGGGGTGTTCTCACATTAGCACTATCATTAATGTATCTGACTGAATTTACGACTGGAACTGTATGCATCTGGCCGCAATTCCATACGGAAACAAGCTAAAAGTTAAAACAAGTGACAGTGCGAGTATTCTTAAGTGGTTGGCGTCCAAATCCAACGGGGGTTGCGGTGGATTATCGCTTAACCGTGTCATCGTCGGTTAGGGGACTCTGCTGCAGACCACAGAGGATTCGGGGCATAGTCGTACTAGGACCTTTTCCACTTCTCTCTGGACGGAACTTCGGTCAGGTTCATCCATGCCAGGGCGGGAACGTGGTCTTATACATCAAGGAAAAGTCATAGTGTGAGTATATGCCCTCAGCCTCCTGATGACCCAGTGAGAGTGCAACGAAACTGTGCGTCACAGCCGCCTGTTTCTTGTCCTTTTCTCCGCTTCTGCCTATGTATGGTTCATCGGGTAGTTCTCTGTGACTGAGGGTCTCGCCGCATTGTTCACCAAATATGAAAAAGACAAGCTATTGCATCTGTACCTTTCCACGTTCTAGCGGAAGATGCATTCTCGATCTTGTACGTGTGGTGCGTAGTGCGGCAAGGGCCTTTCTGTGTGACCTAGGGCCTCACCGCATTATTCACCAAATGTGAAAACGACAAGCTGTTGCATCTGTACGTTTCCACGTTCTAGTGGAAGATGCATTCAAACTTCATAAATAGACTTAGTGATTTCATTGAATCACTAAGTCTATATATGAAGTTTCAATATCGCGTGTATATATGGTTGAGCCTCCTGACGAGCCGGTGAAACTCTGACGGAACGGTTTGTCGCGGCCCCTCATTTATTGTCCTCTCTTCTCCCTCTCTGTCTACAGTTTACCGGGCAGTTCTGTTTGACAATATATATATGTCACAGCCCCTCGTTTGTTGTCCTCTTCTCTCTCTCTGCCTACGGTTTACCGGGCAGTTCTGTTTGTGACAGCATATATATATATATTCGTGGATGTTTTGCTGGCTTGTGATGGGGTGTGAACCGACAGTCTGTAGAGTTTTCCATCTGGTGTGGGTGAGTGATAGTCTACTTTGATTTTGGTTAAGGTAG